AGAAAGAGAAAGAAAGAAAGAAAGAAAGAAAGAGAAGAAAGAAAGAAAGAAAGAAAGAAAGAAAGAAAGAAAGAAAGAAAGAAAGAAAGAAAGAAGAAAGAAGAAAGAAAGAAAGAAAGAAAGAAAGAGGGATTGCTCAGTAGCTAGAGGAGTAAATGAGGTGGCTTAATTTTTTTCTGGGGCAAATGTCAAGGAGGGACTGCCTCTATTTCTGCCTATGTTCTCTCTAATTGTCCAATGACTAGCTCCAAGGTTACCACCTCTATGTTGTCTTATCTATGAAATTTTTCTCCGTTCAAACTAATTTTGCTGAGTGCCTACCTCAACGTTATCACAGACACTATGATAGTCATTATCATATTCAACTGTCTGAGTGATCCTGTATGGTAAGGTAAATAGTGTTATTTCCATTTTAAAGTTGAAGAAAGTATGGCTCTATAACGTTAAACAGCTTGTCCAAAGTCAAACAAATTAGAAATGAGGAAGCTGAGATTTCTACTTTATTATCTTATCTCCTTTATAGTGTTCTTCACTTTCTGCCTTGCATTACAGATACTTGACTATTTGTACCATTATCTGTACTAAGTTGCAAGCTTCTTGAATGAAGGAATAATGTCTTATTCACATTTGAATGTTTTGCAGTGCATAACATGTAAGTATTGTAGTCAATACTGAAATGTTTAAATGTTTAAGTGTTGAATGAATAAATGGCTATAATAAAGTCCATTAAATGAAAAATATTGTACAGCTAATGCTGTTATCTTCCTCTGCTAGGTAAACAGGAAACCAGAGAGGCCCCAAATGAGTCAGGCATGCATTAAGTGCCACTATTCAGTGCTATGGGAGTCCTTTGTTGGATATGTTATTTTCAAATATATTTTCCTAGTCTATAGCTCATCTTTGCATACTATTAACAGTGTCTTTCACAGAGTGAAAGTTTTTCTTTTGATGCATTGCAATTTATATACCTTGTTTTTTTTACTGATCTCACTTTTTGTATCATGTCTAGGAAATTTTCATTTAATCCCAGATCACCAAGATTCTCCCCTGTGATTTGTCTTTAAAATTTTATGGTGGATCTATGATCTGAGTTGATTTTTATATAAGGTTTAAGTAAATATTCATTTATTTGTCTATGAATGTCTAATTGTTACAATACTATTTGTTGAAGACTATACTTTCTCCATTAAACTGCTTTTGCACCTTTGTCAAAAATCAATGACCATATTTCTGTGGGTGTATCTGTGGATTTCCTTTTTCTCTTCCTGTTCTCTTTCTGTTGCCTTGACTTCCACAGTATCTTGATTACTGTAGTATTATAGTAATACTCTATTCTGTTCCATTGGTCAGTTTATCTATTCAATTCTCCAGTACCATGCTATCTTGATTATTGTAGCTTTATAGTAAGCCTTAAAGTTGGGTAGTGTCAGTCCTCTGACTTTTTTGTTCTTCACTATTGTGTTAGCTATCTTGAATCTTTTGCCTTTCCATATAAATGTTAGAGTCAATTTGTCAGTAACCATAAAATAACTTGCTAGAATTTTAATTGAGATTGTGTGGAATATATATATAAAGTTGGGAAAAATTGACATCATAACAATATTGAGTATTCCTATCCATGAGTATGTACTATCTCTTCATGGATTTATATCTTCTTGGATTTCTTGAATCAGTTTTGTCATTTTCCTCATATAGATCCTGTAGGAATTTTGTTAGCTTTATTCCTAAGTATTTCATTTTTTTGGTGCTAATGTAAATGGTTTTGTTTCTATTTCAAATTCTAATTGTTCATCACTATTATATAGGAAAGAAATAGACTTTTGTATATTAATCTTATGTCCTGTGGCTTTCCTATAATTGCTCATTAGTTCTAACAGGTTTTTGTCTATTCTTTTGGATTGTCTACACAGACAGCTATGTTATCTACAAAGACAGTTTTATTTCCTCCTTCCCAATTTGTATATATTTTACTTCCTTTTCTTGTCTTATTGCATTAGCTAGGACTTCTAGTACAATGGTGAATAGGAGTGGTGAGAGGAGCATCCTTGCCTTGTTCCTAGTCTTAGGGAACAAGCATCCAGTTTCTCACCTTTAAGTATAATGTTAGCTGTAGATTTTAAAAAATCAAGTTGAGGGAGTTCCTCTTTTCCCAGCTTTCTGAGGGTTTTTATTATGAATTCATGTTAGATTTCATCAAATGCTTTTTCTGCATCAATTGATATGATCAGATGATTTTTACTTTTTAGCCTACTGATACAGTAGATTATATGAATTGATTTTTGAATGTTTAACCAGCCATGCATACTTAGAATAAATTTGGTTTAGCCATAGTGTACAATTCTTTTTATACATTGTCGGATTTGATTTGCTAATATTTTGTTGAGGATTTTGGTATCTATGTTCATAAGGATGTTCGTCTGCGGTTTTTTCCTTGTAATATCTTTATGTGGTTTTGGTATTAAAATAATGCTGACCTCACAAGATGAGTTAGGAAATGTTCTCTTCTGTTTATATTTTCTGAAAGAGATTATAGAGTTGGTATAATTTCTTCCTTTAATGTTTGGTGGAATTCATCAGTAAAACCAACTGAGCTTACTGCTTTCTGTTTGGAGAGGCTATGAATTATTGACTTAATTTCTATAATGGATATAGACCTAGTCAGACTATTTATTTCTCCTAGTGTGAGTTTTTGCAGTTTTTTTTTTCAAGCATTGGTCCATTTTATCTAGGTTATTATATTT